CGTCTCCTGTAACAGCCCCAGACCTCAGCACAACTGACTCCATGATAAATGTACCACTCAGGTCATAAAGCTCAGCCTGTGGACAGCTCCACCTGCCAGGACAAAAACAAAGGCTTAAACCCGCCAAAGCCTACAGTTATGGACTAACCTTGCTTTTTGGGTTCTGTTGTTCCGTCTCAACTGAAGTGTGTCAACCCAGGACGTGGTTTTTGTGCGTAAAAGCTCACCCTGAGAAAGAGCTGGTGCTGCACTGGGATCCCAAACACCCAGTGTAGTCACCAGCCAGCTAATAAAGACTTTCAGTTGTCTTAAATCCATGTCCTAGCAGTCTGCTCCAGTGGATGGATAACCCACCGTGCTCCCCAAAGATGGCTTTGTCTCTAGTCTCTGGATACTAATGGAGCCTCTCTCTTTCTCTCTCTCTCTCAATGGAGACAGGTCTCCCTCTGGGGCTCTGTGGCCTGGGGCCTTACACTCACTGCCTTGACCAGGCTAGCCTGGAATTCCCAGAGTCCAGCCCTGAGAATAGAAGCGCCACCATACCCCATACCTGGCCATTCTCAGATGTCTTAGATTAACGTGTGAGGTTCTTTTCCCTTCCTGCTGTATGAGACGGAGGTCCCTAAAGGGAGTGATCTCACCGGTGGCCTCTGTAAAGCTTGGATGAACATTCTAAAAGCACTTACACTCTTACAGAGCAGTGGAAGTTGGCCTATGGCTGCCCCGCCCCGTCTTGTCCGGGAGAGGGAGAAGCCACACACCCTATGGCTGCCCCGTCTTGTCCGGGAGAGGGAGAAGCCACACACCCTATGGCTGCCCCGTCTTGTCCGGGAGAGGGAGAAGCCACACACCCTATGGCTGCCCCGTCTTGTCCGGGAGAGGGAGAAGCCACACACCATCCTGCTGAACACAGAGTTATATAAGACTAGCAGCCATTTTCCCCACATGGCCCACCCAGATGAGTAACAAATCATCAATTTTTAGTTTAGTTTGGGTTTCTTTTTCCAATCTCGACCACACGTCAAGACCTAATTCCTGTGCTGAGTGCTTACAGTGGCACCAAGAAGGACGACAGTCTTCAGTGTGATTTCTCCAGAGCTGAGATCTCTGCAGAAAGGAAGCTTGCCATCCTGAAGGCCTCTTACTGGGTCAGATTCCCCACCCATGATCTCCTCCCAACTGTAATGGTTGTTCTGGCTCTTTAAGAAACAAACCACGCCCACTCCCTCCCCCATCCGCTGAGGCAGGCAGGTCTTCCTTCCTGCTTGCCACCTTAGTCTCTATATTCTGGCTCTCTCTAAGAGGCAGCTTCGGCCTCTCCTCCTTCTCCCTCTCCCTCTCCCTTCCTCTCTCCCTCCCCCTTTCTGCCCTTCTCCCTCTCCCCCTCCCCCTTTCTGCCCTTCTCTGATGGAGGAAGGTCATTGGTTAAATAAAAAGAAACTGCTTGTCCCTCATTGGTTAGAAGATAGGTGGGAGGAGTAAACAGAACAGAACGTTGGGAGGAAGAGGAAGTGAGCGCAGAGACTCCACAGCTCTCTCGGGAGCAGACGCCAGAGAGAGACGCCTCAGAGAGAGACACCATGCTCCTGGCTCCTGGGCAGAAGCACGCTATGAAGCTCCGACCCAGGATGGACTAGGCTAGAATCTTCCCGGTAAGACCGGTTCTCACAGATTATTAGAGATGGGTTGATCGGGATAACAGGATTAGCCAGTAAGGGCTAGGGCTAAAGGGCCAAGCAGTGATTAAAAGAATACAGTGTCTGTGTAATTATTTCGGGCATAAGCTAGCCGGGCAGGCGGCCGGGGGTGCTGAGAATGCAGCCCCGCCGCCCTTATTACTACACTTCTCTCTCTCCCTCTCCCTCTCCCCCTTTCTGCCCTTTTCCTTCTCCCCATCCCCCTTTCTGCCCTTCTCCCCCTCTGCCTCTCTCTCTCCCCCTCCCCCTTTCTGCCCTTCTCCCTTTCCTTCTATAACCCCTAAATAAATTCCAGCTTCACTCTGTATGGTGTGCCTATCCATCTCTCTCTTGCAGGCCCCCACCGCCACATGGAGATATGCTGCATGGTCTCAGACATGCACTGTCCCTGCCTGGCCAGGAACCAGACACCTTTGGAGACCTCCGGCATGGCCTCATGCGCAGTCCCTGCCTAGGACCAGCTGCTCCCACTGCCCACTGCCAGGGACTTGCACCGTCCCAGGATCCACTGTCTGCTGCCGCAGGGATCCCGCAGCAAGCTGCCGGGAACTCACATCAAATCCATTACACCAACCATCTTTGTTCCTTCTTAAACCCAGAAGCATGCACCACATGCCTTAGGGAAGTCAGGGTCCCCTGCCTCTGCAGAAGTAGGCACCCCGACCCTTAAAGTTTTAGTGGCTAGTTTTAACCATTCCTACAATCCCAACCTTTGTTTCTCTTCATTTTTTTTTTGTGACGTTTAGAAACAGTCTTATGTGAAGGAGAGCCCCGTACAGCAACTGTCCTGGACCCTGGGTCAGGCACAAATCACATCCAAACACCTGTTTTCACAGAGAGATCCTATGTTAAGCGGGGGAAGAAAAGTTGAAGCAGCTGCTTTCTGTCTCAGGCAGCAAATGACCTCGCAGGTGTAACTTATAATAAAGGGAAGAAAGGGGAGGTCTGTGTTAGAATGAAGATAAGGGATGAAAGAGTAGGGGAAGACAAATAGGGAAAGGGTGAAGGGCTATTTGCCCCAGAGGGACAAAGAGCTGCCTCTGGATAGAGGGGAGACAAGACGTGGCAGAGGGACTGGGGACACGACCTGCCAGTGTCACATGTTCCAATGAGCTAGTGTCCCTGCATTATGTATTCAAGGCCCCCTCAAACTTGCTATGTAGCCAATAACAACCTTGGACTTCTGATCTTGTTGCCTCTACCTCCTGAGTACTGGGATTACAGAGGTGCACCACCATGTCGGGTTTATGCGGTGCTGGGGATTGAAGCCTAATAAATCTATTTACCTTGCTCAACTAACATTTATTGATCGCTTACTTGCCAACGTGTGTGTGTGTGTGTGTGTGTGTGTGTGTGTGTGTGTGTGTGTGTAAAAAGACAGGACCACTGAGCAGGTGCGGTGGTGTAACAGTTTCTTCCAGATTGAAACATTCCATCCTAGACAGAAGCTCCTTGAGCCGAAAGGTAAACAACTCATAACAACTTCAGGAAATCCCTGAAACTGACCAGACTCACTAGGCCCCTCCTTGCCAGATTAAAGAATAAACACTGAGCTTCCCTCTCAGAGAGAGCACAGCTGAGCTGCAAATAGGACTCTCAGACAAGCCAACTTGCGTGCAAGAGGTCACTTGGAAAGGACTCTTCAACCTGGTGAGCTGCCTGCAGGCTGTGTAATGAGCTCCAGGTTCCTGGCTTTTATGAGCTGTCTCCCATGCTGAGGTGAGCTTTAGCAATGCAGCTGTCTTTGAGCCATCTCTCCTCCTGTAAGTAACTCCTCATTCACACTCCTGTAAGTAACCCCAATAAAATTTATGGTTCACCAAGTTGGACTTTGGTGGTATTCATACTTAGGTCTGGCTTGAACTCCCTATCTAGGGTGAGTGGACCTGTGTTTCACATCTTCTCAGGGAAAGCTCTGACATACAACATCTGCAATCCCAGCACCCAGGGAAGCAGAGGTTAGAGGATCAGGTGTTGAAGGTCATCTTTGATACCCAAGAAGTTCAAGGTCAGCCTGGGCTCCTGTCTCAAAAGAACAAAATAAATACAAGTTGCTCATAGCCAGAAGAATAGCAACTGAGTCAACTAAGTGTGGGATGGAAAGCCCTAAGCCTGAGGTACCCTCCAGCTGAGAGCTCCTTTCGTTGTTTCTCCCTGCCCTGGCCAGGCCTCACCTCCAGCTCCCTGCCCTCTCACCCTTGGCAGATGCTCTGAATTCCACTGGGAGCCTGGTGGTTAGATGGCCACCTCAGGTCTGGCTTGTCATAAATGTAGCCGAAAACTGAGACGGCTTCCTATCATCCTTAGTCAATGGACCACCGCAGTAAGAACACACACAAGGGAAGGGAGAAGTCCACATGTACACCCCTCCCCCAACCAATGCTAAAACACAGACTGCAGAATTGAACGCAGGGCAACGGCTGAGCGAATGGTGATTATAATGGATGCGTAGATGCATTAATGAGCGAATCAGAGGGATCGCTCAGTCTTGAAGCAAAGCTTGAACTGGCTGTAGAGGTGTTTAATGTTTTGTTATGGTTCAGGTCTTGCTCATTTGAGGCAGGGCCTCACACTGTAGCCCAGGCTATGTAACTCAGACTGATCTTGAACTCTAGGCAGTCCTTCCACTTTAATGTGGAGATAACAGGTGTATATCCCTATACTTAGCTGAATTTCAGGACTAATACTTTATGCTTGTTCATTGAATACAACATTCTCCAGAGAGTTCTATATAATTTTTTTGCTTTGTTTTTGTTTCTGTTTTTTGAGACACGGTTTCTCCATAGCTTTGGAGCCTGTCCTAGAACTAGCTCTTTTAGACCATGCTGTCCTGTAACTCACGGAGATTCACCTGCCTATGCTTCCCGTGTGCTGGGATTAAAGGTATGTGCCAGCCAGGCAGTGGTGGTGCATGAAAGACCCTCCAAGAGTGTCTTTCCTCTGGGGAGACCCTTCCCAAGGAACAGCGAGACCACTTGTACGGATGCAAACAGCAAGAGGTTTATTCAGATACACAGGTACCTGGGGCGACAAAGTCTCTCAGAGGACTTGTGCGCCTCCAGGTCGGGGTAATGGGTTTATATATGTTTTGGGGAGCAAAAAGCGCGGTACAGAAGCGAGAAGCATAGTTACAGGGTTTTCATTGGTTAGTTTGAATGTGGCCGAGTTCAGGTCGGGACAAGGTCTCTAGTTCCCGAGAATTCAGATATGGGCTGCCTTGGCTCTTATCTAGGGCAGACTTCACCATTCCTCCCCGCCTGGGACAGACGGTGCCTAGCCATATTCTCGGTATTCCCGTTCCTCCCCCGGCCCAGCCACAGGTGTCTCTAGCTCGTTTTGGCAGCTTTTAAACTGCCCTTTGTTCAAACCCTGAATATTCAGTACAAGCCTTGTAAAATGGCGTTACCGGTGCTAAATCGTTTAATAAGCTGGGCGGGGGGATCTTTCAGTGCACACCTTTAATCCCAGCATTTGTGAGGCAGAGGTAGGCGGATCTCTGTGAGTTCAAAGCCAGCCTGGTCTAAAGAGTAAATTTCAGGACAACCAGGGCTACAGAGAAACCCTGCCTTTAAAAAAGAAAACAAACAAAAACCTTGTACCTTTTAACATCTATTTCTCCTCCCAAGGAATATATTGTGTAGAGCCACTCACTTGAATTTATTAGTCTATGTATGCTTTCTGTATACAAGGGCGTTCATTTTAAATAAAACACGAGAGGTTGCAAAACTAAATGTTCTGCAGCCATGCTGCTACTGGTGAAATAAGGGGGAGGGGCAGTGTCCTGGGCGCCGTGAGGCTTTCCTGCCTCAGCCTCAGGTGTGCACAGCCACACCAAGCCAGTGACTTCCAGGTCCCCATCTCTCAAACCTGAAGAATGACAGCAACGGTGATCAAGAGCACTGGCTGCTCTTTCAGGGGTCCTGAGTTTAATTCCTAGCAACCACATGGTTGTTGTGATCTGGCTGCACCCAGATGGCCTGGCCACCCCCACTCCCCCTGACCGACAGCTGAACTTCCTTGTACCCTGTATTTGACAAGGATGTTTGTGTTCTTTCTGGTGTGCGGTGTTTTGCCGAAGTGTTCTTCCTACACGATGCCCTGACCTTGACCTCAGGTTCTGGCTGCCTAGCATGCTGGTCCAGCTTCCTAAAGGTATAAAAGGCTCTAGATCGGGGCAAAATAAAGGTCTTCCTCTTCTACAAGCAACTGCCTTCGTGTTTGAATCCCCACACCCTCTGCCAGTTCTCGACTGCTTGTTTCCCAAGCAGAGGCAGCCACCCTCTTGTATCTTTCCCAGCAAATACCTTGTATGAAGTTTGTTAGGTTGTGTGACTTTGTGATATTCTTTGGCTCCTAGCTGTGAGGATATCTTTCCCTTCAGAGCTGTAACACTTATATTTTGGAAAAATTTTTATTGTGGCATAATAAGTATATGCAATTGTATATTCACAATTTGCCATTTCAAGCATACAATTCATTGGCAGTAACTGCATTCACAAAATTGTGTAGCTGTGGCCCCTGTTGTCCACACTTTCATCAGCTTTAATAGAAGCCCTGTAACCACTGAGCAGTGACTCACTTCCTCCTTGCCCCAGTCATAAACCTTTTCTATCTCAGTGAGGTTGCCCATCTAGATACTTCTCATAATTGGAATCATTAGATATTTATCTTGCTCTGTCTGACTTTTTTAAAATTATTTCAGTGTTTTCAAAACTCGGCATGTTGTAGTATACATCAGTACTTCATTCCTTTTTTAGGGTCAAATAATATTTCACTATACCTAAAACATTGTGTTGTCTATCCATCTTTTGGTGGTCACTTAGGTTGGTTTTAATTTGCTGAAAGTTTTGAGATACACCAGAGAAAACAGATGCTAGGGAAATTTCAGAAGGGGATCCCTCATTCAGAAGAAAGCTAAGTGACCTCCCACTTATATTAAGGGAGGTGCTCTGAGTTCATCACACCAGCCTTTTGAGACAACTTGGATCTTGGAGAGAAAGATCTGGAGAAGGCAATGTATTCTGGGACTTCTCAATTTACCAAGCGGCTCTACCACCATGGATTACTAGCTGGAAAGTTTGAAGAGAATCAAACTGCTGTGTTGGATCCCCAGTACAGTGTATCCCCCAGAAAGAAGGCAGGGGGAACCCCCGGGTGGTGCAGATAATTGCCTCCCTGGCCTAGCTGCTCTGTAAAGGGGAGTGTTGTGTTGCAAGGACAGCTTGACCTGAGGGACAGGAGGTCATGCTGCCTCAACAGCTGAAGGTCTTCACAAGTCTTTAAAGGCTTCCTGGTTGTCTGAGATGAACTGGCTGAAGCTTCTAACTTTGGGGTTTAGACGGTGGGTAAGCTTGATGTCACGGTTGGGCTTCATGTGATAGAAACGAAACATGTTGGCCAATTCGTCCGCTCCAGGGAATCCCAGCTTCTCATAAGCTTCTGGGGTGATCTTAAGAAAGAAGAAAGCAGTAAATGGTATGGTTTGCAATAGGTTTACGTATTCATCTCAGTATTGACGCAGGCCCTCATTCTTTAGCTCCAGGATCTAAGGATCTGAAGAACCTCTCACACCGTTTGTCCGGAAGCTGATTGATGAGCTGATTGGATGGAAAATTCTGATCCAAACTATGTGAAACTCTTTATAGTCTTTAAGTGTGGTACTCAGTGGAAATAGTTATTGATGTATTTGATCAGTGTTTGATCACAGGTTCCAGTTGCAGCCGCTGGTGGTGGCGTTACACCCATGTGCCAGCCGATGATGCTGAAGGCACAGCTGTCTTAGGTCCTGGCATCTGGATAAGGTAAATCTGAGCACTGCATCTCTCCCGGATTGCCCCAGCAGGCCCCAGGATGGTCTGCCCTCCCGGCTACATGGGCATTATTCCCCATCACAAAGTGATATCCCATCCATTTCCTCCCGCTTCATGGCTAGCGATCTGGGGGTTTTTCCCCCTTCAATCATTCTAGTCTCTGCCAGAACCATGCAGGCCCAGCAGCAATGGAGCACATCCATGTTTACTGAGATGTCTTCTGTCCCTGACTCGTGCCTGACACTAAATAGATGCATAACTTCCTCTACTGAAGAAATGGGTATCATCTTAATAGCTGGTCAATATCATCTGTCCTCCCTGCAGAGATGAACTGTGGCCTTACAGCTTTAGCTGGGTTTTATTCCATTTAAACAACTAGCATGTATTTATATATGTATGTACGTATGTATATATGTGTACACACACATATGAATGCATGTGCAACAGCAGTGTGGGAGACAACAGTCAGTTCTCTCCCGCCCCCTGAGAATCCAGGGGATCAAACTCAGGTCATGAGGTACAACCTGCCAGAGTCAGCTCTCTCCCGCCCCCTGAGAATCCAGGGGATCAAACTCAGGTCCTGGGGTTGTTATCAGCGCCCTCCCCTGCAAAGCCATTTCATTGGCCCTTCACACACTTGTTCTTAGGAAAATATGTGCGAGACTGGGTTGTGGTGGTGTTCACTGTTAATCCCAGCACTTGGGAGGCAGGTGAATCTCTGTGAGTTCGAGGCCAGCCTGGTCTACAGACAGAGTTCCAGGGTAGCTAGGGTTGTTACACAGAGAAACCCTGTCTCTAAAAAGCAGAAAAGAAAAATATGTGTGAGAAATAAAAATGCATGGACAATCACAGTTGTGTGGCTTCTGTGTCCTGAGAAGACTGCACTTGTCTCTTGGTGTGTACCTCGACCCGGCAATAAGCTTCCTCCATATTTGAAACAAATCAATAGATTCATGATTATTGCATGGCATTTTTAATAATGAAAGTCCCCGTTCCGGCTCTTGGAGGACCGCTGTGAGGCTGAGGCTAGTCTGTGTTACAGAGTGAGTCCCAGACAAGCTTGTCTCAAAGAAATAAAAATCAGGAAAGGGGAAAAGAAAGAAGATGCAGGAGCAACGGAACAATAAAAACATACTATCATATTAATATATTTGAAGAAGTTTAGCAAAATAGGGAAGTGTTCATAACTTTGAGTGAAATGGCACTTGAGTGCTACTTTAAGTACAGATATATATGTTACATATACCGGAAAAGGATTGGGATAAAGCAGCAGATCTTACTTGTTAACACTCAGAGATTAAACTGGATGGGTTTTATTATCTTTTTCCTTCTTTTTGACTTTTGTTTGTTTTTTTTCAGATAGGGTTTCTCTATGTAACAGCTCTGGCTGTCCTGGAACTCTCTTTGTAGGCCAGGATTCAAACTCACAGAGATCCTCCTGCCTCTGCCTCCTGAGTGCTGGGATTAAAGGCAGGCACCACCACTGCCTGGCTATTTTCTTTTTCATAATTGCTTCAGCCACTGTAATAAGCATTTGGTGTTTGTGAAATTAGAAAGACAAGGGCTAGAGAGATGGCTCAGTGGTTAAGAATGGATACTTCTCTTGAGAAACCTGAGGCTGGTTCTCAGCTTTCACAGTGAGCCGTCCTTCTGTCTTCCCAGAACATCTGCGTGCGTGTGAACGCACAAATACACGACACACACATAAACAAAAATGTTGAAAGAAACATAGTTTTAATTAGGAAAATGTTTAAAACTTTGAGTTTGGAAACAGAATAGTATTTGTTAGGAGCATGGAACTCTGTCTCTAAGTCACACTGTCGTCTTGTAACTATGACAACTAACAAACCTCATAAAACTGGGATCTGTTCCTGCGGATTTTTAAAGATTTTTGAGATCTGTTCTCTTGCAACTCACTTTCTGAGGGATCCATGTTTCCCCAAGGGTTGGACAGACAGTTCAGGCAGCCCTGAACAATTAGAGAGAGAGTGGTAGGCTTTGCTTACCCTGAATCTGTCCGTCCCACAGGTGCCTCTCTTTAGAGAGGTTGGACCAGGGAGTACCAAATTGGGAGGACTGGAGCGCCACCTTGTGGCCAGATGCATCCTTCTCAAAATCAACATAATGCCTAACTGATTTGCTACCTGAGGGCAAAAGTGGACTTGACCTCAGGACAGACTGGTAGTAACCATCAAGACAAAACAGTATTAACCATCCTGTAAAACAGATAAATGTTCCAAGAACATCCAGGGACCAGGTATCCGTCTAAAATGCTAGGAAGGTCTGGAGCCACCCGAAACTGTGTTTACTAAGCCCCGTAAGAATGAATATACCACGCATCCTTTTACCCATATTCTTTGCCCATATACCCCTTTCCCTGTCTTTTCCGTATACAGGTCAAACCATCAAGACAAAAACAAAAAACAAAAAACAAAAAAAAAAAAAAGAAAAAAAAACAAGAACCAATGTAATATCCCAGGAGATGGACTACTGGGAAATATATTTATGGACAAAACCCTGCAAGACGTCTCAGGAACCTGCCTTTGAGTGGAAGACTGCCTTCTTAAGCTTGGAAGACCTTAACTTCCTCTATGAAATTCCGTGTGATTTCAGAGATACCCTAGTTCAAAGATATAGTTGTTCTGTTTATTTTGGTTTTGTTTCTTTGTTTTTCAAGACAGGGTTTTCTCTGTGTAGCCTTGGCAGTTCTGGAACACACTCTGTAGTCCAGGCTGGCCTTAAACTCACCAGAGCTCACCAGCTCCTGGCTCCTGAGTGTTGGGATTAAAAGTGTGTGCCACCACTGTGCCTTGCTGAAGATAACAGACGTTTTATGTCTTGATTGACACCTACCATGGTTTTCCAGAATTAAAAAAAATCTATTAGTGTCCTCACAATTTTAACACCCAAATTGAATTGGAAGTCCAAGCAACTAACACCCCTCCCTGTGAGTGGCTGGTAGGGAGACCGTGAGGGGGGTATAAAAGTCCTTGTGCAACTCCCCTGTCCAGTGATTCACTATACCAAGAGCTGATGCAAGCAAGAAGATACCCTCCGTTTCTGAGGGGAATGGGGATAGTCAAAAACTGGGGTCAATAAACTTTTTTTTTATGTTGTTTTGTTTTGTTTTTCAAGACAAGATTTCTCCGTGTATCCCTGACTGTCCTGGAACTTGCTCTGTAGATCTGGCTGGCCTGGAACTCAAAGAGATTTTACTGCCTCTTCCTCCCAAGTGCTGGGATTAAAGTCATGGGCCACCACTGTCCAACTTCAATAAACTCTCTTTTGGGTTGAGATGTGGACACACATTCTCGCCCTACAGCTCAGGTTGCAACTCACAAAAGTCTTCCTCGACCCACATGACCCACATCCCATGTGCTGGGATTACAGGTCTATGAGCCACCTTGCTGGTGTGGTTAGTTTAACTGTCTAGAATCACCCAGGAAGTTCCTCTCAGTGATGGATTGTCTGGATTAGCTTGCCCTGTGGGCGTGCCTGTGAAGGATTACCTTAACTGGGTCAATTTAGAAGGCTCACCCTGAAGGAAGGAAGGCAGCCATTTCATTGGCTGGGTCCTGCACAGAATGAAAAGGGAAAAAACAAGCTGGGCACTAACGTGCCTGAGTTAATTTGTTGCTCTCTGCTCTTGACTGTGGATAGAATGTGACCAGCTGCTTGGAGTTCCCGCCCCTGTGACTTCCCAGCAAGGCTGGGCTGTAACCTGAAGCTGTGAGCCGAATAAGCCCTTGGCCCCCGTAGGTTGCTTTTGTCAGAGCATTTTTACCACAGCAGCAGAAAACAAGACACCCAGAATAGATCAACTTTCTCTTCGAGGGCCGCACATAAATACTCGAGGCTTTGGCGGGCCGTATGTTTTCTGTCGCAACTATCTGGCTCAGTCACTGCACCATCTGAAAAGTCTCTTCCATCCCTCACCCCATCAACACCTGTGTGGGGAAATGGTACCAAGCCTCCCCACCTGTCTGTAAAGAGCTGTCCTTGCCACACTTCGGACCAGACGCCTCCTATGGGGCTCATTGTTAGTACTCAGGCACCTGTACCGGTCTGCCCCTGGGGTACGCGTCCCCAGCTGTGGCCACTAAGGGCACCTCCTATGCACATTCACTGCGTTCCCTGTACCGGTCTGCCCCTGGGGTACGCGTCCCCAGCTTTGGCCACTAAGGGCACCTCCTATGCACATTCACTGCGTTCCCTGTACCGGTCTGCCCCTGGGGTACGCGTCCCCAGCTGTGGCCACTAAGGGCACCTCCTATGCACATTCACTGCGTTCCCTGTACTGGTCTGACCCTGGGGTACGCGTCCCCAGCTGTAGCCACTAAGGGCACCCCTTGTGCACATCTGCGTTCCCTTTTAAAAGCGCCCCCCCCCCCCCCGTCTCTTTCTCTCCGTCTGTCTCTTTCTTCTCCTCGTGTACCCAGAGGCTGGCCTCCCCTCCCCCCTTTCACTTTTCTCCAGTAAAAAAATCCATCTGCACCTGAGCTCTGTCACATGACCTCTTCCTCGCGCGCGCTGCTTTTTTTTTTTATTTAATTTATTTGTATACAGTGTTTTGTCTGTATGCTTGCTGGCCAGAAGAGGGCACCAGATCTTATTACAGATGGCTGTGAGCCACCATGTCGTTGCTGGGAATTGAACTCAGGACCTCTGAAAGAGCAGTCAGTGCTCTTAACCTCTGAGTCATCTCTCCAGCACCCTGCTTTTTTTTTATTTTTTTATTACAACACCCATGGCACTTTCGGTTACTGAGAGCTCACTAAGCATCCTCAAGAGTCTCTTCAAACTCATCCCTTTTTTTTAAAAGATTTATTTTAGTATGGATGTGTATGTATGTGCTCGGGGGTACCCAAGGAGGACGGAAGGGAATGGCAGCTCCCCCCAGAGCTGTGTGAATATATGTTGCTAGGACTGGTTTAATAAAGAGCTTTCTGGCTAGTAGCCGAACAGGATAAAGATAGATGGGAAAGCCAAACTGAGAGCGATGGATGAGGAAGGGTGGGTCAGAGGAGCCGCCAGCCAGAGAGAGAACAAGTTGGACGCACAACATCGGATAGAAGTAAAGCCCACGAGCCTAGGGGCAGCAAGCAGATGAATAGAAATGGGTTAACTTGTCAGAGCTAGTTCCTGACAGGTCTGAGCTATCGGCCAAGCATTTGTAATTAATATTAAGACTCTGGATGGCTATTTGGGAAGTGGCTGCCGAGACACAGAAAGACTCCGCCCACACTGGAGTTACTGGTGACTGTGAGCCTCCCGTTGTGGATACTAGGAGACACACTCCGGCTCTCCGAAAGAACAGCAGCAAGACTCTGACCACTGGGCCACCCCTGTGGCCCTGGAACCCATTCTTTACATGAAGTGTTCTCTTGGCCTCCACAGGGCATAGTCTGGATGACTCGGTTAGGCACCTGGAGGGATGATCATTGTGCCTCTCTGTGTCCCAACATCTTCACACTGTTTGCCCTATAAATTCCTCCACGTTAGCACTGGGCACACAGGACTTGATGTTGCCCTACTGTGTGCTGATCGCCAAGGTAGACTCTAACTATATCCTGTCTCGTTTTCACCAGGACACTCTGAGGTGGGCCCCCATAGTGCCAATCTACAAGTGAGGAAGCGGAGGCCGAGAGACTAGAATACTTTTCGTTCCCGGCCCCCACCTGCACCCGCTTCTCCCATCTGCAGTGAGGGTTGCTGGAACAGCACAGGTGAGAGAGTTGCACCTTGGTCTTCAGATTCTAAACCCTTTCCACGCAAAAGCACTTTAGTTTATGTAACAAGCTGATGAATCTAAAGCCGGAGAAATAAAGCCATACAGGCGTGAGGGTCTGTCAGCGTAGAGCCATACAGGAGTGAGGGTCTGTCAGCGTAGAGCCATACAGGAGTGAGGGTCTGTCAGCGTAGAGCCATACAGGAGTGAGGGTCTGTCAGCGTAGAGCCATACAGGAGTGAGGGTCTGTCAGCGTAGAGCCATACAGGAGTGAGGGTCTGTCAGCGTAGAGCCATACAGGAGTGAGGGTCTGTCAGCGTAGAGCCATACAGGAGTGAGGGTCTGTCAGCGTAGAGCCATACAGGAGTGAGGGTCTGTCAGCGTAGCACTCTCTCTGCTTTCTTCTGACGGTACAGCCTGGGTTCACCCTCTAAAACCCACCAATAAACCTAATGAATGCATACATCAGTAAGATGCTAGCTGAGGGAGCCTCCTGTGGGCACACTGATCACCAAAGACTTCGCCTTTGGAACCAGCACGATTGTGCCCACTGTCCCGCCAGTCTGAGGCAGGGTGTTTTACTTCAAGCTTGAGGACACCTGCACTACTTAAGCCCTGCCTTGGGCCCATGAGATGACTCAGGAAGAAAAGACTCTTGCCACCAAGCCTAACAACCTGAGCTTAACCTGTGGGCCACATGTGGTAGAAGGTGAGAACTCGCTGCGGAATAACCATGCTATACACTGTAAACACAGACTGCTCTCATTGGTTAGTAAAGAGCCGGCTGGCTGGTGGCTAGGCAGGATTTGTGGGGCAGAGAGAATCCTGAGAGGAAAAAAGGCAGAAGTCAGGGAGATGCGGGCTAAATGCAGAGGAAACAAGATGTGTCCTAAATGAGGTGATGAGCCACGAGCCACGTGGCAGCAAGTAACTAAACAGAAATGGGCTAATTTAAGTTACAAGAGCTAGCTAGAAACACGTCTAAGCTATCGACCAAGCATTTATCATTCATAATTTTTTCTTTTCTAAGCCAGGGTTTCTCTGTATAACTTTGGAGCCTGTCCTGGAACTCACTCTGTAGACCAAGCTGGACTCTGCCAGCCTACCTTTGCCTCCCGAGTGCTGGGATTAAAGGTGTGTGCCACCACCTCCCGGCAAGCATTTATAATTAATATTAAGTCTCTTTGTTATTTGGGAGCAGGCTGGCAGGACAAAGCTGACAGGCAAAAACTCCACCTACAAGAACCGATTTCTGGGGACTGAAGAGATGGTACAGCGGTTAAGAGCACTGGTTGCTCTTCCATAGAACCCAGGTTCAATTCCCAGCACCCACGTGGCAGCTCATAGCTGACGTAACTGCAGTTTCAGGCAAGCCAATACCTTCACACAGACATACATGCAGGCAAAACACGAAAGCACATGAAATAAGAATAAGTTATTTAAAAAAAAAGAAGACCTGACTTCTATGGGTTGTCCTCTGACATCCACACACAATATGGCATGTGTATGAGCACACACACAATTAAATAGATAGATAGATAGATAGATAGATAGATAAATTTTAAAAAAGAAAAAGAAACAACCCCTGTCACAAACAACATAAGGACGTACCTTTGCATCGCGGATGTCCTTCCCCAGAATTCTGGACAAAACATCAGCGTACTGCTGTATTGTTAGGGCCTCTGCGCTGAGGCCCACGGCCTTGCCAACAAACTCCTCTGGAGAAGCGAAAATGCTAGAGACAACAGCTCCAACATCGGCAACGGAGATCCCGTCCATTGGCACATCCCCCATGGGCAGTGCTAGTTTCAAAAAGACAAACAAATAAAAAATAAATCATAGTATCACATCCTTGGCAGGTCCTCCACCCTGAGCTAGTTGCTTCATCAACTCTAACCCCTTAAACTAGAGGTGTAAAAAGCAGGGGCTACGGGAAGAGGTCACTGCGGGAGCAGAGCTCAGAAGGTCAGAACCATGAAGGTCACAGGATCATGAAGGTCACAGAACCATGAAGGTCACAGGATCATGAAGGTCACAGGATCATGAAGGTCACAGGATCATGAAGGTCACAGGATCATGAAGTTAACAGAACCAGACAGTCACTAGTTCTCACAGGGTTGTACAAGCTGGGGGTTCCTTAGGGAGTGTCAGCTAGTCCCACAGCAGGGACACCCAGTGCTGCAGCCTGAATCTGTGGGATCCTGTAGGGAAGTGGTCATTCCCTCTTCGTCCAGGGCTACTCCAAGCCACACATTATAGATCTATGCAGTCTGTGCTGGAGCAGGCTGGGAACCCATCTCCTGAGACTACCTCTGAGGACGGGATCTTGCTCTCGCCTGCTGCCGAAGGGCAGATGGACCAGCGAGGACTCTTAGTGACCATCCTGTTCAGCCTTTCCAGGAAGCTGAGGCTTGCGGACAGAGTTAACTACACACACAGCGAGTGTCAGATGGTGGGCTGGAAAGATAACCTGTGTGCTTCCTGCCAGGTCCAGTCTTGGTCGCTGGGGGTGTGACTGCCATGGGGAAGTCTAGGGCTGTTCAGTGGCCTCTAAACAGGTCACACAGAGCCAAGAGCACTGGTGTGTCCAGTGAAGAGGGGCAGGAAATGGGGGATGGAGGGAAAACAGGAGGCAAGGGAGGAGGCAGGCGGCCAGCTGTGGGTGCACCTTCACGGCAACCTGGCATTTACCTAGGGTGTAGTAGCCATCAGGGCTTTTCACCGGCTTCCACATGGTGAGGAAATTTTCAAAGTAAGCTGCCAGGCGGACGCTGGTCATGGGAACACCAATGGACCAGAAATACTCCTCCACTTCCCCCTTCCCGTCGAAGTGCAGCACCTTCAGCTTGCCCCCGCTCAACCGGTCCACGTTCTCCAAACCGCTGTACACCACATGTTTCAGGCCCAGGCGTTTGGCGATATCTGCCACCAGCTTCCCCTGAGGGGCAAAATGCAAGCCTTTGCACACAAATATACATTTATATTTTCTTTCTGGTGTCTGCACACCAGTTGGATTTTGTGGGCCAAGTGGAGGGATACATACACACATAAATGTCTAATTTCTCGCTCTCCTCTCCCTCCCTTTCCCCTCCCCACACCTGGCTTATGGATTCTCTTTTTTGTTTTTAGTTTTAAATTTCTAGCTCTCCCTTCCCTCCTCCCTCCCCCTTCCTCCCTCTCTCCTCCCTCCCTTTCCCTCCCTCCCTCACTATTGCAGTCTCACCTTTACCTATAAAACCTCCCCTAGCAGTCAGGAGAAGTGAAGCTAAGAAATGACAACCTCAGGTTCAGGTTTCGTGTGTGTGTGTGTGTGTGTGTGTGTGTAGGTGTGTGTGTGTGTGTAGGTGTGTGTGTGTGTGTGTGAGAGTAGGTGGGTGTGTGTGTGCACATGTGTATGTGTGAATGAATGTCAGAATTAGAATTCAAGAAATATACCAGGCAGTGATGGTGCACGCCTTTAATCTCAACACTCAGGAGGCAGAGGCAGGTGGATCTCTGAGTTTGAGCCCAGACTGATCTACAGAGTTAATTCCAGGACAGCCAGGGCTACACAGAGAAAAACGCTTTCTTCAAAAAAGAATAAATAAATAAAAATAAAAAAGTAAAGAAGAATTCAAGAAATACTTTTAAGGGGCAAGCAGGGAAACTGGGTCTGGTGGTACAGCCCTGAAATCCCAACCACTTAGGTGCCTGTGACAGGACGATCATAAATCGAAATCTCAAAATAAAAAGTTAAAAAAAAGAAAGTCGAGGATGGAGTTCAGTGGCAAATCACATGCACACTCCCGCCCAGAACGTAACACTAGGACATCCCAAAGTTAATCCGGTAAACATTAAGTGGCAAGAGCAATTCAGTAAACACTTCTCTGCCCCGTATCTGTTTTTCTGAATTTTGTCATTTCTGTGAGTCACTGAGGTGTCCGTATATAGTGTTTCTGACGGTAAGGATGTGGCGTTGTCTCCTCTCCCCTTGTGTACACACAAACCTGCACATAGAGCTCTGTTCCGCTACAGTGCAAAGGCCGCATCCCTTTACCCTCATCCCACTGCCGTGGCTGGGCTGTGATCTCTGCTCAGTGTGATCACAATGGAGCTGAGTCACAGCACACATCACCAGTGCATGCACTTCCCACACAATCCTTCTCTCCCTGGAGCTTCTACTCAATTTCCCTGCTTGCTAATTACTCTCTCTTTGTACCCTTCACTAACTCATCCCCATATTCTCTGATTGAAATATATATTTCATATATATTTATAAATGTTTGTTTAAAGATTTATTTATTTATTATGCATACAATATTCTGTTAACATGTACACACCAGAAGAGGGCACCAGATCTCATTATCAATGGTTGTGAGCCACCATGTGGTTGCTGGGAATTGAACTCAAGACCTCTGGAAGAGCAGCTGGTGCTCTTAATCTCTGAGCCATCTCTCCAGCCCTAAATGTTTTATTTTATAGTCATATTTTATCTTCCCATTTGCTGTCAAAGTAACCTCAATGTGGGACATCCCTGCCCTCCACCTAGAAACTAATAAATGGAGGACTTAATGACTGGCTCTATGAAGCAGTACAGTGGTATATTATTTGTGTTTTAATAAATAAAGCTTGCCTGAAGATCAGCAAAGCAACCAGACCAGTCAGCCATGCATGCCAGGCAGTGGTGGCGCACACCTTTATTCCCAGCAGCTGTACTAGTTAGCCATAGAGGCTGGGCGGTGGTGGTGCACACCTTTAATCCCAGCACTAGACAGGAATACAAAGTGGGATGAGACAGGAACTCATTCTCTTTCATTCTGAAGATTTCATAGAGGTGAGAGCTCTCCAGGGGCTTGGTTGTTTTTCTTTTTCTGATCTTTAAGTTGAACAGCAGTATCTGTCTCTGGGTTTTCTTGTTGTTGTTTGTTTGTTTGTTTTGTTTTGTTTTGTTTTTTGATTTTCGAGACAGGGTTTTTCCGTAGCTTTTTGGTTCCTGTTCTGGAACTAGCTGTAGCAGACCAGGCTGGCCTCGAACTCACAGAGATCCGCCTGCCCCTGCCTCCCGAGTGCTGGGGTTAAAGGCGTGCGCCACCACCGCCCGGCTCCTGTCTCTGGGTTTTTATTTGTGCTACAAAGCAGCTCTCCTCAAATGTGCAAAGTCTTCAGCTTTCAACAGGTGCCGTATAACATCACATTTACCAGCCTTTAGCAAGTACCTATAGTGCACTTATTTCCTAAGTGCCAAGGGGAATGTGGCCAAGCGAGGCTTACTCTGGGGCTCAAACTGAGACTAGCACAGACAGAAGCAGGTGGGCGAAGGTGAAGGGCCTTAAAAGGGAGAGAAAGATGTTTCAGCTCCCACCTGACACACTTCCTTCTCTTTGCTGAGATGGTCCCAGAAGTTGGTCACCACAAAGGCTCCATGGGCTCCTTTTAAGGCCTCTTCCACAGACGCAGCATCATCCAGGTCACACCTGACCACCTCGGCACCAAGGTCCCTAAGCGCAAGGGCGTTTTTCTGACTCACATCCCTGGTCAGCCCTCTCAATGCGAAATGTTTGTTCTCCAGAATGGACCTGGCCACAGAGCCACCCTGAGCCCCTGCAAGGTCAGAGAAGAAAAAGCACAAGATCAGGAACAAACACACAAACAAAAATGCTCACTAGAAGATCCCAGCTGCACGTGGAACTGTTACTGAAGGACCCCCTTCTGGAGGCACCACGGGGAACTTTAGGCATCCCATGGTTTTCAAATTATCGAGGCCATAAGAGGGAGAGGGCCAGGAGAGGCTGGAGGGAGAAAAAACAAGCCACATGGTCAGGTACAGATTCCAGTTAAGCAATTAAGTACAATTATGCAGATATAGATACCATAGGTTGGGTTTGTTGTTGTTGTTGCTTTTTTTAGTTTTTAGTTCCCACACCTTGAATGATTCATATTCTCTCTCTCTCTCTCTCTCTCTCTCTCTCTCTCCAGTTATATTTATTTATGTCTATTCAGATTTTTCCAGTGCTGAGGATAACCCAGGGCTTCAGATATACTTAGCAAATGCTTTTCTACTGAGCTGCGTCTCTCCAAGCTTAGTCTATATTCATAAAGCATTATCAAAACTTTCATAAGTTTTACCCTTTGCTGTTGCTTTGCCATCCATGGTCAATTGTACTAGGATCTTCTAATCATCTAATCTGTTTGTTTTGTGATATGGTGTCTCTGTCCTAGAACTCACTCTGTAGACCAGGCTGGCCCTGAATTCATAGAAATCTGCCTGCCTCTGCCCCCTGAGTGCTGGATTAAAGGTGTGTGCTAGCACTGCCCAGCAGCATTTTGCAATCTCATTCGTTGATCCTTAGGATGAGTTGCTACGTTCCTGCATCCTTTGTAGAAAGAGTCTAGCCTTGAATTTATCAAATGCTGGGGCATAGGCAAGTGCCACTATGCCTGACTTATAAAATTGTTCTCAGTTGTCTTCTTGTGGGACCTACCTGATGTATCACTGATCTGACCCTAGATAAAGAACTACCGTTTCACAAGCTGGCTTTGCCCATGAGCCTCGGGTTGTGACCAGTAGCAAATTGGCTAGAGGTGAATAAATAGGTAGCCCGAATTTACCAGATGTTTGAGAAAAACCTCCCCATGGAAATTAAAACTAAAATAAATAGCTAAAAAGAAAACAGAATCAGCAAAGGGGAGGGAATAGTTGGGGGAAAAAACACCCAAGGTGGGAGAATTTGCATCCCAAATATATCTAGGCTGTGGCGTAGTTTATTGGTAGAATATTCAAGTCTCAGCATCAGCAGGGTGTGGTAACACACACCTGAAATACCAATACTAGGGAAGGTAGAGGAAAGAGGGTCTGGAGCTCAAGATTAGCTTTGATACATTGTGAGTTCAAGGCTACTCTGGACTACTTGCGACCCTGCTTGACAACAACAAAATAAGTAAGTAAAAAAAATACAAAATTCCCAAGGAAACAAACAAGCTGAACATGGTGGCACTGGCCTTAATTCCAGCATGAACTACTCAGCAGGGGGCTGAGACAAGAGGATTGCTAGAAATCCAGAATCAGCCTGGGCACAGTGATTGTTAGGCCAATGTAGCAAGATCTTCTGGGGGGGGGGGGGGAAGGTGGGTGTTGCCTGTCCTTAATCCCAGCACTTGAAAGGCAGAAACAGGTTGATCTTGAGTTTAAGGCAAGCCTGGTCTACAAAGCTAGTCCCCGTGACAGGCGGGGACACCTCTGTACTGGTTGTCCGGGTTCTATAAGAAAGCAGACTGAGGGGCTGGAGAGATGGCTCAGTGGTTAAGAGCATTGCCTGCTCTTCCAAAGGTCCTGAGTTCAATTCCCGGCAACCACATGGTGGCTCACAACCATCTTTAATGAGGTCTGGTGCCCTCTTCTGGCCTGCAGACATACACACAGACAGAATATTGTATACATAATAAATAAATAAATATTTAAAAAAAAAAAGAAAGCAGACTGAGCAAGGCATGGGAAGCAAGCCAGTAAGCAGCATCCCTCCATGGCCTCTGCATCAGCTCCTGCCTCCAGGTTCCTGCGCTGTTTGAGTTCCAGTCCTGCCTGCCTCCAGTGATGAACACTAAATCAGATAAACCCTGTCCTCCCAAATTGTTTTTGGTCACGGTTTCATCACAGCAATGATAACCCCAACTAAGCATGCACTAAAAGCCCTGGGTTCCGTTTCCAGCACCACATAAAACTGGGAATGGAAAGCTCCCGTCTGTAATCCCAGCACCAACAACACTGAATCAGGAGAGAGACTCAGAGTAAAGTCGTCTTTACAGAGTTAGTTTCAGGTCAGCTGGGCTGCAAGAGATCATGTCTCAAAAACCTATGCACGAGGGGGAAGGGTGGGAAGTGTTTTCGGGAAGAATCTCTGAGAAATTAAACATATTGTAATAGGAATAAAGTTGGAAGTCGGGCGTGGTGGCGCACACCTGCGTGACTCAGCACTCAGAACGCAGCCACGGGAGGTCAGAAGTTCGTGCCGCCTCAGCCACATTGCAAGTCTGGGGCTAGTATAGACTGTGAGACCCTATCTCAAAAAAAAACCCTGAAAAGACAGCCAATGCCTATGCCCCTGCATTTGGGGTGGGTGGGGGAGACAGACGGAGGGATAGAAAATAAAATAAAATAAAAAGATAAAGAGACTGAGCCCAGAGAAATTTCAGAAAGAAAGTGTGGATTTTTTTTTAGAAAATAATTCCTTAGGGTCCAAGGATACTGACTGAGTTTCCAGAGCTCCGAGCTCAACACAGTAACAAATTAAATCTCCCGAACACTGTATCTCCAGTGGTGGCGCACGTGCACCTTTAGTCCCAGCACTCGGGAGGCAGAGGCAGGCGGATCTCTGTGAATTTGAGGCCAGCCTGGTCTATAGAGTGAATTTCAAGATAGCCAGGGCTACATAGAGAAACCCTGTCTTGAAAAACCACCTTCTGTCCCCCCCCCAAAAAAAAACAAACAAAAACCCCCAACAGCAACAACAAAAAACTACATCCGATTTCTTTCTCTCTCTCTTTGGTTTAATTGGTGTTCTGCTTCTGTTTTCATTAAGATAGGGTTTGGTTTACTGTAACCCACAGTGTCCTTGAACTTCTGCCTCTGCCTTCCAAATGCTGGGGTGTCTGGAGCATGTTACCACAACACCCAACGGATTTTCTTTTCCTTTCTTTCTTCCTTCCTTTCTTTCTTTCTTTCTTTTTTTCTTTCTTTCTTGTGGGGTGGCTTTGTTTTAAACAAGTTTATTTTAAAAACCAGAATGATTTGAAAGGAGGACTAGGATTTCTTTTAAGGGTAATGTACCACTGGGCAGTGGTGGCACACACTTCTAATCCCAAAGGCGGGCAGATCACTATAGTTCCAGGCCAGCCTGGTCTACAGAGCCAGTTCCAGGGCAGCCAGGACAACACAAAGAAACCCTGTCTCAAAAAACAAAAATTAAACCAAAACAACAAAAATTTTCTCCAATGGGACAAGATTTGTATGTTATAAAAGCAGTGGGAACAGAATTTCAGCTGGAACATAGAAGCAAGCTGAATAAGAACGGCACCCACTCAGGACCGTGGGTTTGCACAGAGACCAGCACCTCCCACAGCAGAGGAGCAGAACAGATTCGAGAGATCTCAGCAGACCAGAACCCACAGGCACTGGTCCACCCCTGCGAAGATTTCCAGAGCTCTTGGCCTACCAGAGTCCTTCCTGGGCTCCCCAGGAAACTTATGTCAATTCCTCTGCTCAAAACCTTTCTGTGACTTCTGTCTTTTCAGAAAAACAATCTCACCATACTCGGCTTTTGTGTTTGCACTCTATTGTAGACCAGGCTGACCTTGAATTTACAGAGACGCCTGCCTCACAAGTGCTGGGATTAAAGGTTTGTGCCACCTCAAAAGTCACCAGTCTCCTTTTCTTTTCTTTTTGTTTTCTTTCCTTTAGGCATGTCAGTAACTTGCCTCCCTGGCCATGTGGAACTTGTTTTCCAGAGTGGAAAGATGTGAAAGATGGGTCAGGTAGGGAGGGGTCCAGATGGTGACTTGGCTAGAACAAAATCTCATGTTTCAAATGGAGGTATGGAAACACCCTCTGGAGACCCTGGGAAGTCTGAATGGAGCCCTGGTATCTGTGAGGGAGAAAACGGGGTGACAGGAAAGATCTTTCTAGGCTCGGGGAGCAGGGGGGCAAAGGCTCTAAAGGGACGTGCATTTGAAAAAACAGCAAGGAAAAGCCAGCAGAGTGGCCCCGTGGATAAAGTGCATGCTGCACAACCTGCACAGTTCTCTCGTGTGTGCGCACACACACACACACACACACACACTGTACTATAATAAACATTTTAAAGGAAAAAGGCAAGCAGCAAGGAAAGCCAGTGTACTCTCATGGGGGAGGAAGGTTTTTGGAGGACATGAACCAAGACCGTACTTTCCTTGGAGTGAGACACCATTTATTTACTCACAGTTTCAAAGGGATCACTAAGAGCCTGGGGGTATAGTGATGGAGGAAGGTCATTGGCCAATAAAGAAACTGCTTGGCCCTGTGGGTGGAGTAAACAGAACAAAATGCTGGGAGGAAGAGGAAGTGAGGTCAGAGACTCCACAGCTCTCTCGGGAGCAGACGCCTCAGAGAGAGATGCCATACTCCCAGCTCCCAGGCAGACACACGCCATGAAGCTCGACCCAGGATGGACTAGGCTAGAATCTTCCCGGTAAGACCGGTGCTCACTGATTATTAGAGATGGGTTGATCGGGATGTGAGAATTAGCCTGTAAGTGCTAGAGCTAAAGGGCCAAGCAGTGCTTAAAAGAATACAGTGTCTGTGTAATTATTTTGGGGCATAAGCTAGCCATGTGGGCGGCCGGGTGTGGGGGACGCAGCCCTGCCGCCCCATATTACTTCATATGGCGCCCAGACGTGTGGACAGCCGAAACCCACTTAAAAAACCTGAGAAGGCTTAAAAATAAGGGAGAGAGAGTTTAACACAGATTTTTGCTGTTTGTTGGTGGCGTGCTGTAGAGAGTTCCTGATTTGGCAACAGTAGCAGAAAAAACGCTGTGTCATTTTAAAGCGCGACTTCCTGGGGCTGTGCCACCTTTGCAATCTCTGTCTGACTCCTGCAGGAGACAGAGCTTTTGAATAGACCATTTGGAGTAAAGTGCTACGATTTGTTTGATGGCAACTAGACTCACTGTGTTCTCGGGTCTGCTCTGCTTGCTAGAGGCAAGCATGCGCTTTCTTCTAAGAGAGGCTTCCTGACTCAGCTTTAGCTGCAAAGCCTGCAGCTCATTAAGAGGTCCTGCCACGAAACACTTAAACGGTGTTGACGAAAAGCTGAGCGCATGCTTTTCGGTTTTCAGCCGTAGCAGGAAAAAAGCTGCGCCGTTTAAAAATGCCGGCTTTCTGGGCTGTCCTGCCAGGGCAAACTCTGACTATTTGAGGCAGGAGGGCCGGCTACCGAGAGAGGACTTGAGTGTTGTCTGTTGTAGCTCACTTGCTGGCAGGGATCTTGAAATGCCATACAGTTGTTGCAGTAAACATGGCTACAGCCTGTATATCCGCCATGAGGCTGGAAAGCTAAGGAATGGACTGGATCTAGCTGGCAAAGCCACGCCTTTAATCCTACTGATATTGCTTGGTAAATTAAAGACTCATGTGGTCAGAAAAAGAGAGATATACAGTAAAGAGAGATTCAAAGACAAAGAAAATTTTTAAATGGTTTACAGTGTGTTAAAAATATATGCAGACTAAAATTTAAAGTTCTTAAAAGTAACAAAAAAAAAAAAGGAAGAGAGTTGTTGTGTGTGGTAGCACACGCCTTTAATCCCAGTGCCTAGAAGGCAGAGGCAAACAGATCTCTGTGAGTTCAAGGTGTAGTAGCATACACCTTTAATCCCGAATGCCTGGGAGGCAGAGACAGGCGGATCTCTGAGAGTTCAAAGACAGCCTGGTCTACAGAGTTACTTCAGGTCAAAGATACAGAGAACCTGTCTCAAAAAACAAAAAGTTAAAAGTAAAAATAAACGAAATAGAGGTTAAAACAAAGATGGAAAATACACAGAGAATCTTGATACTGTATGCTATTATGCTCTCTTTGAATTGTTTGAATGCTGAGGAAGGAGCAACAGCTGCTAAAAGATATTTGTTTATAAATGCTGCTGAACTAATCCAACATAGATATTTTGAATTTGCATCTAAGGATATGATACTTTGGAAAGGAGTTTCTTATTTTGTTTTCACAGAGGATGAGACGCTGTTCATTTCTTCTATTCCGATTTGGTATGATGGACCACGCCCTCCTGAAGGGTTGGTGTGAACGCCTTCAAAAAATTGCTTCGCTCAACTGCCAACTGAGATGAAACTAGCACACAGGTTATACCATGAAAGACCTAATTAACGACGCCCCCATTCAGCAGGAAGCAGTTTGGAGAGAAATAACTGCGCCCATGTTCCCAAATATGGTTTATAAACGTTCTTTTACATTTTAAGGGGGATATGATATAGATATGAATAATTTACATTAGTATAGATTTTGCTTTATTGATAGAGATTTAAGGTCAATTTTGTTATATGTATAAGTGTTTCTGATATTGATTAAGGTGTTGTGATTGTGTAGTTCATTTAAAAATGTAATATATATAGGTTGTTAATGGATAATCATCGATAATAGTAAAGCTTGTAGTCATGTTAGTTAGATTTTCTAGATATATAGAGATATATTTTAGATAGACATTCTTCATGTCTTTCAAAGATTACAGAATAGGACATTTAATGTTTTAATAACTTAGGAATTTTCATGACAATGAGACACTCTGCTCCTGGCAGCACCAATGTACTTCAAGAGGAAGATGGGCATCAAAGAGGCACCTTATGGAGTTTGATAGCCATTTGGGCAAGACACTGCTCTTGCCTGGACTATTGCATAAACTGGACACAGAGAACCCGCAGAGAGGACTACTGAACTTGCCTAAGGTGAGATGATCTTTCGGGGTTCCTGATTCATGAAAGATTCTGCGAGACATTCTGCAGGACACAACAGATAGTGACTGAACTGACTTTGAATTTTCCTGCTTTATGGAAATGTCTGCTGGATACCATGGGCCTGAAGGCTGAAGATGGATGCCCCAACGGTACAGAGGAACTTTGGGTGACTGTCCAGGCAGCGAGATGTCTCTGTCATTTCTAGAGTTTTAAAAGTTGCTTTTTTCTTGTTTGCTTAGGTAGTCTTTCTGGAGTCTTTGATGGAGTTAAGAATAGTTAGTTATAGTTTTCCTTAGTTATGATAAAGATTATTGTAACTTTTACTTGATAACTGTTTTGTTATATGTAATTTTGCTATGTTAAAGTTAAAGCCTTTTTTTTTTTGTTTAAACCGAAAAAGGGGAAATGATGGAGGAAGGTCATTGGCCAATAAAGAAACTGCTTGGCCCTGTGGGTGGAGTAAACAGAACAAAATGCTGGGAGGAAGAGGAAGTGAGGTCAGAGACTCCACAGCTCTCTCGGGAGCAGACGCCTCAGAGAGAGATGCCATACTCCCAGCTCCCAGGCAGACACACGCCATGAAGCTCGACCCAGGATGGACTAGGCTAGAATCTTCCCGGTAAGACCGGTGCTCACTGATTATTAGAGATGGGTTGATCGGGATGTGAGAATTAGCCTGTAAGTGCTAGAGCTAAAGGGCCAAGCAGTGCTTAAAAGAATACAGTGTCTGTGTAATTATTTTGGGGCATAAGCTAGCCATGTGGGCGGCCGGGTGTGGGGGACGCAGCCCTGCCGCCCCATATTACTTCAGTATAGGTCTACGCTGATTTGACTAACAGTTTGCAAAGATGGCTCAAGCTGTTGGGGCAGAGTGGGGAGCAGAGGTTAGTTAAAGGCGCAGGCTTCTCACCACCACCTCACATCACCTGAGTGCTCGCCAGGCACTCACAAGGTCCCTGCTCCCTGCTTGCTTCTGCAGCTTATCAGACAATGAGCGGGAAAGGAGATCAGGTTCCAGAGAGACTTGCACCAAGAAGTTAGCTGGTAATGAGGGGGACATACCGTCAGCAATCTTTAAGTTTCTAAGACAGTTTGTTTTTTACAAATAAGTCAAGTTAACCTGCTCACATCAAAACCACTAAGCACAAGATGACGTTCAGTTTACTCCTAAAGGCTGTTGGTTCTGCTTACTCTCTGGGCCTCCAAATCTAAAACCAGGAAGTCAGAAAAGCGAGCAAAGTTAGCATGCATTTTATGCCAGGGTTACACAGAGGAACCCTGTCTCCAAAAACAAAAACAAAACAACTAATATGTATATATATACATATATTATATATATTTACCTGTTGCTCCAAATACTGCGATTATTTTCCTGTTGGCCATGTTCCCAGGCTAAGAACGAGGTGATGGAGAGCAGCCGAGCAGAGACAAACCGGGAAATGCCGTTTCTTTCCTGGCGCAACTTTTATAGGTAGGAGCACCACGCCCCTGTAGTGCCCCTCCCTTGGAAGCGTTCTTGTTTCCACTAACTCCTTCACTCACTGTGTCTCTGCCGTTTTCCAGTGATGATTCATGTGGAGCAGGGGTGGTGGTGGCTATCCCATGCTCTAAAAAGAGATCTGCACACATATAACTGATTGGCCTGTTTGTTCTGAGCTAATGTTTCTGCCCAACTGGAACCCGAAGGAATGCCCAGGGAGGTCATAACCAGGCAGACAAGCAAGGGGCCTACAGTAACTGAGGTACAGACATCAGTAATTTCCCAAGAGTGACCGCCACCTGCTGAGGGTGGGATCAGTTACTCTCAAAGAAGAAAGTGCTGTGAGGGCAATTTCTCTAAGATGTGTGGTCAATTTCTCTAAGAAGTGTGTTGATACTTGGTTTGTGATCTAACTCTGATCTGAAGATCAGAGTGCAGAGCTAAGCCACTAGTTAGCCGTAGAAGCCGGGCAGTGGTGGCACACACTTTTAGTCCCAGCACTCTGGAGACAGGGGCAGATGGATCTCTGTTGACTTCAAGGCTGTCCTGGGCTTCATGAGATTGAATCTGTCTAAAAGAGAAAGAGAGCCAAGTTGTGGTGGCTCACATCTTTAGTTCCAGCACTAGGGAGATGAAGACAGGAAATGATATAGCTGCAGGGTGGGAAAGGAATATAAGGAGGGAGGAGATAGGAGCTCAGGATTCAGTCTGCTGAGGACTTGTAGAGACGGGATACCCCATTGGGTCTAAGGATTTTGTAGAGCTAAGAACTACTGGCTGGCTGCTCTGCTTCTCTGATCTTCCAGCTTTCGCCCCTAATATCTAACTCCGGGTTTTATTATTAAGACTAATTAGAAATTGCATTACAAAGATATCAGCCTGCTGCCTTTTCTTATCACCCTTTGAATAAAGCTCACCCTAGACTTGATTTATCCCTAAGCTGACATCACTGCTATTCTGCTCCTCTCCCTTGCTATTGCTTCTCACAAGCGATACAGTGAATTACAGGTCCCAGTGGTCTGGATCTAGTGAAGGGTCTACTCTATAAAAAAATTTTTTTTACAAGGGCTGGAGAGCTGCCTTAGCCAGTAAGAGCACCAGCACCTGGAGACTCTGACTCAAAACAAACAAAACCACCAACACCAACAAAACCCCTGCCTTCCAGGGAAAGGCTAAGAGAAGCTGAGTCCCTAGGGAGAGGCACAAAGGCCAGACTGGGACATTTGGGAAGGGTTGGAGGCAGGCATCGCTAGAGGTGACCTGACAAGGATGGTGATGGGCCAGGGCCACTTTCCTCTGAGCGGCCCAACAATAAATAACGAGTTTCCTGTTCCTGTGAGACTTAAGCCAGCCTTAAGGGATGACCATAGCCCTGAGTAGCCTCTCTCCCTCTCTTCTAAGGTTTCCCTGGTAACTGTCGCTTACTTGACGCATTCGAATTCCTCAATTTTCTTTGTGGAACTTGCTATGTAGACCAGACTGGCTTTGAACTCACAGAAACCTGTTTCTGCTTCCTGAATGCTGAGATTAAAGGTGTGAGCCATCTTGCCCAAAAGTTAAGTTGTTTTTAGACAAGGGCTCATAGCCCAGGCTGGCCTGGAGCTTGATACATAGTTGAAAATGACCTTGAATTTATGACCTTGTCCTCCTATTTCTGCCTCCCAAGTGGTGGAATTATAGCCATGCCTTATCATGAGTGGACTGTGGTTATAATATGAAACGTAAAAAAAAGGTGTCTCTTTTTATACCTTATATTTTGCTTCCTTTTTCTTTATAATCCTGTATTGCCAGATATGTGATAAGCATGTATAGTTACTTCTATATTTACTTTATGCCTCCTCCCTCCCTAGAGCGTATGTTTCATTTTCTTATGTATCCCTAGTGTCCAAAGCGTCCAGCTGTATCAACACATAGTAAATTCCCAGTAAATCTTTGTTGGAACAATGAATATTTAATGGGTGGATAGTATTGCAAGAGTCAAAGTTAACCTGTGAGCCTCCTCCTGCCCAAGGACCAAGTAACTTCCTGAGATGCTGGGCGTTGTTCCTGGGAAATGCAGTGGCTGTATGGTCTTGTCCTTAAAAGGCCCCTGCAGACATGACTCATGGCTGCTCACTGGGATTCTAGAGAGTGGACCTGATCAGGGTTCATCCTGGTCAGTATTTAATTAAAGTTTGCTTCAAACTGGGCTCAAAATTGTGGAAGTGGTCTTTCTTTGGTGAATCTCACAAGTCTCCGTATTAACATTTGGAGGCCCACAGCAGTGTCCCCTCCATTTCCGGGTTCCTTCTAGATAGTAACTCTGATGTCAGCCATCACAGGGCCTTTGGTCATTCTGCTTCTGCTAATTACCTGTGACTCCTACATCCCGGATATAGTAACTAAATGGTAATTCCTATCTGGCCACCATTAAGATGATGGTCAGTAGATCTCAATATAAACAAGTACACTTCAAAGAGTCAAGGATTTGACCCAGGATACAAATCAAGAGGGGAATGTTAAGACCAAAAGTCAGCCTGTAAACCCCACTTGCCCAAGGCCCAGGTAACTCCCAGGAATGCTGGGAGTTGTAGTTCTCAGAAAATAACAACGCCACATGGGAAACATGGTGGCCTAATGGTTTTGTCCTTAAGAAATCCCCTACAACAAGCAACTCGTGGCCTCTTGCTGTGATTCCGAAGAGTGGACTTGGCCAGAATCCATCCTAGTCAGGACATGGCTCAAAACTGTGTAACTGGTTTTTCTCTCTTGAATCCCATGAATCTCAGGATTAATACTACGTAAGAGAGCCAGAAGGAATGGCTCTGGGTACCAATGAAGGAGCGCTAAAAGGTAGCTGGCCTCCTTGCCAAATAGAAATAAAGGTAGGTCCAAGACAGAAGACAAATCAAGCCCCTGGCCTTCCGCTGGTCTCTCCCACTGATATCCCTGCTCCTGCCTGCTTATCCTTGCAGGAAAAAGTAGTTTTCCTGGTATCTCATTCCGTAGTCTGTCATGATGCAATTGAGAGGCAAGTTTGGAAAAATGGAAGTTGCTAATTGTAATGCTTAGTCTTGATTGTCAACTTGATGAGAGTTAGAATCAACTACCAAGAATCAAACATCTGTGCGTGTCTAGGAAGGGTTTTCTAGACTGAGTTGAGGTGGAAAGGCCCACACTAAACCCAAGAGCTCAGGTTCTAGAGTGCATTAAAATGAGAAAATGACCTGAGTATTCGTCTGTCTTAGCTTCCTGACAAGGAGGATGTGACCAGGCCTCTTCAACTCCTGCCTCCACAACATCCACAGCATGACAAACTATTAGCCGTGACAAAGTTACCTTTCCTCTCTTAAGCAACTTTTGTCCCAGCAAGGATAAAGTCCTTAAAAATAGCGTTGTATACACGTTTATTTATTTACTTATTGTTAAATCTTTGTGTGTGAGTGTTTTGCCACTTGCATACATCTTCACTACGTGCATGCAGTGCCAGAGTCTGGAAGAGGGCATCTATCTCCCAGAACTGGAGCTGCGGGCTGTTGCAAGCTGCCATGATGGGACTGGGAACCAAACCTGGTCCCCTGGAAGAACAAACACTCTCAAGCAATGAGCCATCTCTCCAGTCCCCTCTAATACAACATTAAAAAAAATAATCCACATTAAAAATAGGGCATGATGAGGGTTCTTACTCTCAGGGCTGGAGTTTCCAGGCAGCCAGCCTAGCCCGACCAGCAGGCCCCAGAGCTGAGGGAGAGACTCTGTCTCAAAAACCAAGTGGATGGCTCATGAGCAGTGACACCCAACGTTGTTCTCTGGCCTCTGCATTCACACACACACACACACACACACACACACACACACACTTACACCCATACATACATACAAAAAAACCCAGAGATTCGTGCCCCAAATACTGAAAGGTTATCAAAGGTCTAAAAAGGAAGGACAAGGGACCAACATTAAAGAGAAAGAAGTGAAGTTGAGTCCGGCTGCATAACTCAGTACAGGAAGAAACTCAGGCTGCCTCCTTCTCCCAGATGTTGGCATTACAAGTTTGTGCCACCAAGCCCGCTTTCTGTAACTTTCTTTTAAACTAAAACATACTATTTCTGTAAGAACCTGGAATAGCTTCCTACCTTTTTGCTTTGACCCAGACAGGGTCTTGGTATTACCTCCCTTTCTCAAAGAAACTGTGGCAGGAGTGAGGGAGCATGCGTGGACAAGCAGGCAGGCAATTTCTGGGGTGGGAAGGTGGCTAACCTGATTATATAAAGTAGCCACCCATGATGTACTAGGCTGAGATTATGTAGAGCTCTCTCTAGCTTTTTTTTTTTTTATGGGGTGGGCGCTTTCGAGACAGGGTTTCTCTGTGTAGTCCTGGCTGTCCTGGAACTCACTCTGTAGATCAGGCTGACCTCGAACTCAGGCATCCTCCTGCCTCTGTTTCCCAAGTGCTGGCATTAAAGGTATGTGCCATAACCTGGCTTCTAATTTTTTGTTTGTTTGCTTGTTTACATTTATTTACTTGCTATGTATGTGTGTGTAGACATGAATATGCTACATGCATGCCAATGTTGATGGCAGAGGGCAACTTGAGTCTGTTCCCTTCTCCACCACATGGGTTCTAGTGGTCAAACTTGAGTGCCCAGTCTTGGTGGCAGATGCCTTTATCCCGTGAGCTATCTCTGTTTCATCAGACTTCGCTATCGTTAGATCTCTCGATCTTTCTTTTGTTTCTTTCTCTGTTTCCTGAGACAGGGTCGCATGTGAATCCAGTCTCAAGATTATCATGCTTCTGAGACTGGTCTTGCCATACCTGGCTTGAACTTCCTTATTCTACCTTCTGAAAGCCGGCACATTATCGAACCTATTCCGTCCTAGTCACTATTGTAAGTGAACTAATAGTAACGAAAACACCTATCCAGTCTGGGCACATAGCTTTGCTAACAGAATGGTTGCCGAGGGTGAATGAGTGCCTGGGTATCATGAC